CATTACCATTAATACCTCTACTATCTTTATCGCTATGGGATTTGATTTGATCTCTGCGTCTTTGTGCTAATGTGGTATGGCAACATGAACTTATGTACATACGTACGTAGTTCTACGTTGCAAATTACTGACTGACTGACTGCTGTTCAACAATATTGACACAAAAAGTTTTATTTAATTATTTAGAGAAATGGTTTACAATACAATGTTGTTGTTAACTAGACGCTGTAACTTTGAACAGAATTCCACGTAAAAACAAGTTTTAAAACTAGGTGTTATGTTAATGGATCGCATTTACGAACACGACTTAGTTTTGTACCCCTTATGAGTAGTTCAGCATTACCTTCGGATTTCATCTGAATCAGTGGGACTAAACATTAAATTGAGTGATAAGTGATTTTCGCTTGTAAGTGTCATCATTAACCGACGTCAGCTAAGATAACGAGGATAATTAATGCTTCGCAATCTTTTATAGTTTGCACATGCGACTGAGGACTGACTATATAAACTATGCTATGAAGCAAATAGGAAGTTCATCAAAAAGAGTATTAGTCTATTTCGGAGATAGGTGCATGGAATAATTTTTACAATACCGACTTAAAAATTCGTAGTGAAGAGAAATGAATCTATGTAATGACTTCGAACAACGTTGCAAAATAAACAGTAGATTATTTTCAGCATAAACATAATTATCACAATATGAGGTGTGAAATAAAAAAGAATTGGGTAAATGTCGTTAGATTTAGAGATGTGAAAAAGTTTAGATTAGAAGTATCTCAAAAACTGTTGTTCTGAAAAGATATATTCAAGTACATGAACTTAAGAGATAAAACAAAGTTGAAAAGTAAGAAGTGGCAAATGTAGCCCATTGATGACGTAATCATAGGCTCTGAAGTACATGCCTTTCACTCTGTCAGTCAACAACAGGATAGAACTTCGTACGTACGAACGTACATCAGTTAAAATTGCAATACCACATTGGCACAGAGAAGTAATTGTCAATTTAAATACAGTAGTAGTAGAGGTAGTAAAGGAATTAGCAGTAGTCGGAGAGATTACGATTAGAAGATATTATTAGAAAAGAATCTAGTGAAATAAACTTAAAAAGAAAAAAATAACAATTCAGGTTAGGACTTGAGAGAACACAATGAATAAATGCACCTGCGCCATTGCAAACGGTTTTGAGCCATGCCACTCAGGGTCTCTAACCATCGATTATTATCATCTCGCGGACCCCAATCACGTAGTCGATAACTACCAACATGACTCAGTCCACTTGTCAGTGACTTCATGGATATCCACCATGCTTTGGTCTGGCCGCCCATAGCCTTCGTCCAAACTATTCCTATATCGCAAAACATAGCTCGTCGAGGTAGTCAGTGGATAGGCATTCGTAACACATGTTCCAATCACCTCAACTGATGAAGTTTCAACATTTCATCTATTGATCTGCCATCCTTATCTAGAACCCGTTTCCTAACGACAGCATTGCTTACTCGATTGTCCCAGGATAAACGAACAACGCATCCAAGACATCTATGACCGAAACCAGTAACCTACAAATATCTGCTACTCTGACTGGCCATGTTTCACACCATAAAGTAAGAAAATCTTCTGTTACTGGTATTTGATTTTGACCAATTTGGTCTCGCGTGCTGTTACTGGTATGAGGGCGGTTGTCACTTCCCGGCTGCCCACACCGTGGAAGGTTGCTTCTCGAGGAACCTGAAAAGGAAGGTAGATTGATGTTGGTCTTAACGACCTGGCAGCGTGACCGCAGAGTCCAAGGGACATCTGCTTCAGGCCGGTCACGCACGGCCTTTTTATTAAAGGTATTTTGAGGATTACCTCCGTTCTTAAAGGCTCTTAGTGGGCACCCTTACCCAAGGAGACGGAAATCCGTGAGGTAGAGTGAGGTGTGACATTTTTAGGGTTGACCTTTTCTAACCCTTCCTTCCTTGTGAGAAGGCAGCATCGCTTCAGATGCTGGTTGTCCGATGGAAACACCTTACTGCTGTCACACCTCTCTGCAGTCAGCAGTACGACTTCGCCCTCAGACCTTAGGTAGGTGCTTTTAGTCTCATCGCTCTCTAATCGACCTGCCTGGAATGGTAGAACCTTTAAGAACATATGTTCCAGCCAGTATAGCTCGGTTAGGTCATCGTGATAGGCAAGCCCGACCACCACGTCAAGGTAGCAGCTACGGTTGGGATGACAATCTTCTACTCCGACTGGCCATGTTTCACAGCCATAAAGTAGAACGGAGCGAACCGCTGCGCAGTAAACTCGTCCTTTAGTCAGCAAACGGATATCACGCCTAAGCGATAAATGACAAAAGCCTTCCACATCCTTGATAAGATTTCGTCACACACTAGGCCATCAGCACTGATGAAACTCCCAAGATATGTGAAGCGGTCAACATGTTCAACTGCTTCACTCCCTATCACTAGTTCAGGTGCCGATACAACCCAATCCTAGAGTAACATATTGCATTTCGAGGGTGAGAACCGCATGCCGAACATGCTCGCATTGTTGCTTAGGGTGGTCAGAAGACTCTGCATTTTGTCGGCGTCTTCACCGGATAGAATTATGTCATCGGCATATTCTAAGTCGATAAGCAAGCCTCCTGGTAAAAGGTCTACTCCTGAAAATTCAGACGAGGACAAGGCTATGTCTAGGAGCATGTCTATGATAAAATTAAACAAGAATGGAGAAAGTGGACATTACTGACGGGCATCAGTAATCAATTCCGATGACAGTTCGCCATAAGCTCTCACCCAACCAGTAGTTTTAGAGTAAAGAGCTTGTGTAAAGTTAATGTACTTCTTTGGTACACCTCTCAATGACAGACACTGCCACAGAACCTCACGATCCACAGAGTTCAATACCGCTTTTAGGTACAGGAACACAACTATTGTAGGACGCCAAAGTGTGTGTCTGTGTTCCAGGACCTGTTGTAGTGTGAAAATGTGATCTATACAACCACGTCCAGGTCTGAAACCAGCCTGGTTTTCTCCAATCTGCCCTTCACGGACTCTAATTGGGCGTCTGAAGATTATCGGGGCTAACAAATTAAAACTGTATTAGTTAGACTGATTCCCCTGTGATTGTCACAAGAGGACAATCAGTGATTGAGACCAGTCGGATGGGATTACGTCCAATTGCCAGATTCTACCTAAGATCTCGGTCAATCTAGCTGCTAAAGCTGGACCACCATCCTCGAAAATCTCAGGAGTTAGCTTATCAGGATCTGCTGCTATTCCTGGCTTTAGATATTCTATAGCTTTCTCAACTTCGTAAAGGCTAGGACTCATCGATTTGCCGTTCAGTATGACTGAAGATCGTGGGCAACCGAAGTGTGGCTGAAAGCCAGTTGAACTGATCCCTAAAGTGTTCTTCCCGTCGGTCCAGTCTCCTGCATTGAGAATGGATAATAGGACATTTCTCCTACATAGTCTCATATTCAAGTTCCTAATACCAGTTTCCCTGACTAGTCTGAATAGTTGCCTACTCTTGGCAATAGCCGCTATCTGTTCCATCTCTCTCGCTTCATCTACCCACTACTGTTCGCGATCATTGCGTAAGCATTTTATCAGCCTGCCATCAAGCTGACTACGCTCCTCATCGTACTCAGAGCCAGGCGGGATGAGCTTTCGAGCACCCATCAGTTCGGCAGATACTACTGGAATACACGGCTTCTTCCTAACCCTATGGTCTACCTCACTAGCAGATATCATGATAGACTTAAGAGAGGTGACAGTGAAGATTAAAAATGTAGAGGCCTTTACAGAACGTAGCTTCATTTCGAAACGCTAAACTTAGTGTGATTTAGTACTTATCGTTATATTTTATTTTATTTATTTTAAACACGAGGGAACTTCCCACCTGCTGCACTAAATATATGGGGAACATTTGAGGGACTAAAATCATGTCGTAAAATGACGAAAAAACTGAAAACCGATTCAGGTTTGATTTAAAATAACAGTGATCCTAATCCATGAATATTTCCCATTCGCATTAAAATGTCAAGTATGGTGAAAGTCTTTATAGAAGAATGTATTCTTACTCCTGAATGTATTCCAAGAATCATGTGTTGCAATAATACATGTTAGTTGCAAAATAAAAACAAACCTTTTTTCTGTAGGAAAACGTAATAGTGTAAACGAGTGAGGAGAGCGAATTAGTATTAATATTCCTTGAAATTTACATGATGCCATCTTATTTCATTACACATACTTTCACTCTACTTCACCATCCGAAAGATCGGTGATATGTACAAGTTGGTGATCTTACTATTACGTTGGTATCTTTTTGAAGTATTTCCAGAAAAGTCAGTTACCATGATAAATTTATCATAACGAACAATTTAGAACAAAAACTACTCAATCCAGGTTCTAAATAAGCCTTATTGTGTATGGAGAATTGGTTTCAGGCATAAGGGGGTTGTCGAAACACTAGGATAAGTAAACAACTTTACTCTAAATCAGGGACTTAAGACTTTCAATCAAAATACAAATCTGTTCAAAATTGAATTATTATAAAAATACCTGAGTCAGTTTCACTAAAATTTGGACAAATGAGGAACCAAGGTAACAAAGAAAAAACATTAGCTAGTGTTCTGATAGTTTAAACACTAGGTTACTGATGAATACTTTTCTTATTCTTGGGACAACACATGAATTCAGGGACATACATAAAATCATTCAAGCAATTACTTAGAGTATCCGAAACGATGAAAACGAAGATATGCCTGTCGGGTTACGGTTACCCGTTAGATTCGGAATAAACAAGCGGGTAGTCCTAGTAAACATTGGTCAATCATACAAGCTTATTTTGATATCCGGATGAGTATATGGCATCTAGGCTTGACAAAGGGGATCACATAGTTTTAAAACCTAGCTACCCGACAAATTCACTATCTTATTCCATCGGTTACGGGGTTTAGGGACTCATAAGAATATTCTAGTATCGGGTTAGATTCTGAAGATTAGGGGTGAAGAACATTGGCAACCATGTTCATAACGGTTGCACTCGATGCTCCGATAGAAAAGACAAGAATCCCTTGAGATGAAAACTAATATTCATCAACTGAATATATAGCTAGATCTAGTGGGGGTCAGAAACCACGCGCAAATCTCAGCACAAGGTATGAAAGAAATAGTTTCCGACAAGTTTATTCAACGTTGTTTTAATTTGACTTTACATTTGAATTTGGGCCTCTTCTTCGGCCACCGGGTTGTTGAACCACAGCTACAAACCGTTTATTGTACTGCATTCTACGCTTAGCCCGCCCACGCGGTGACTTTTTCTTCTCCTGCTTCTCGACCTTTGGGGTCTGTCCACGAACTTTACCAGCACGCGCAAGCGATCCATGTACCTTACCTGAAGAAGCTCAAAAGGGCAAAAATCATATACCTCCTAACACTGGAACAACGACATCGATGGACGTATCACTTGGCAAAGATGCCAAAGATTGACTATCATGAATTAAAGATCCACCGTTGTATAACTGCAAATTATCCAATGGTAAATTATCCTGGTTTGCAAGCAAAATCTTTAAATATGCAGCTGTTGGGCAATCATTTGTGTCTATAACTCGAGTATCATACGACTTAACGATTAACTGCATGATTTTTGGCCAGCTGTACTGATCACGCCAAATTCGTAAATCCGCACCCGACTAATTCCGATATCCAATATCCAATTTTTTTTCACGAGCTAGCATAAACAATTCGAATTACTTGAGTCGATTCTTGTTCTTGCGGCACGGTTCCAGGTGTTTGTTAGTGTCCAATGAATTTGTGTCTAGTAACTTGACTGTCTTATTCTGGTCAATTGACAGTGGATTGTGTGTTAGTATGTCCCGTGATTTGAGTGAATACGTTTGTTTCAGGGCAGTAGGGTTTCTGAATACCAGCAGCTATCACATTACCAGACCGAAGATCAGTTAGCTGCAACATGAGGAACAATGAGGAGAGAAGTCTAATGCTAGTAAGAAGAAGATTTCAGAACAACTAAATAAATGAATCAATTAGTTAAATTATTTGTTGTGGAGATTTTGTGAGAGGAACGAAATGTGAGCAATAAAGAAAGAAACACTTATGTTAAACGAGATAGATTATGTTAGTTAGTTATCTAAGATGGCAATAACAACAGCTAGCAGGTTTCAAGACATGCATCCGATGCAGTCAGTCCACGAAGAAGATAATTAATAATAATAATAATAATAATAATAATAATTTATTCTCAAATAACTAAGTTACAAGAGACACGCCAGTTTCGTATGTGAGTATATGTTTATAGTGTTTTCTTAAAGCTGACTATATATTTGATTGGCAAGCACATCAAGTAACAACTTGAAACCCTGTTCTGTGTTTTGTTTTAACATCAGCCGATACAATACAAATGCATAGGCCTAAAGAGGTCATTCGAGATTATTTGGTGGTGTTCTGGTAGTTGATAGGTGCTTCTGTTATGCCTTACTATAACAGCCTGGAGACAAAACACATTTGTTTATGTTTCCAAAATTACCCAAACCATTGACCCGCATATAACGATTGCGCACTACCTTACTTTGGACGAGTTAACTTGTGAAGTATCTGTTTCCAGTTCTCTGATATTTAAAACACCTCAAATTCAACTTCCCCAGTTACCTTTGGTTCCCCTATTTTCTCATCCTAGACAAAAGGGAGTCCAGTTGACCTTTCATTGTTGTATTCAACTGAATGTTACTCAGTAAATCGAATAAAGTAATTCTGTTCAAAAGGTCTAGTAAGTGTCTGCATCTACCAAGCCTTAAAATTTTATGTTACTCAGTCGTTTAGTTTTTTAAATCTTGTATGATAGAAGTAGCGTGTCCTTCCACTACTCTCGTCCTTCTGAAGCATGTATAGTAGGTAGCATAAGGTAATCGCGGGGACCGTATTATTTCCATAGTTGCAACTGCGAACTCGCCTTAGTTAAAACATCGAATAAAGCCTAGGGGTTTGACTAGTTTTATCCTTGGAGTTAGGTCGATCTGTATATTATTGCGAAGTTCATTTTAGGATCATTTTATGAATAACATCACGACACTAAATCTTACATATTTTTATCCAAGCAGAAAAGTGCTCATTTTATTCCATCTGTTATCACTTAACGATAACCCTATCTTTTCCAAAACTATAAACTTGGAACAGAAATATGTATCCGAGTGGTTATTAGGTCACACGGATAATACAATTTTAGTTGTGTCTGGTTAAAGGATATCACGACTTTTCGTCATACAGTTAACGAAACCATTGAGTTTCATTTGAATTGTGAGTCACTCATCTTTGGACCACAATTAGAATCCAGTATGAACTGTACAGCCGTTTCATCCTATCATTAGCCTCTTCAGCAGCGCGCCTTCGGAATCCCGCGAGAGGGGACTGAACCCGAGAATCACGGTTTCGCGGTCGAAAAATTGACCTTTAAACCACTGGGCCAGCATCTAACAGTGTTCTTATCCAACTTCAGTCAAGTCCTTATATTTCACAACCTCCCTAACTGTTTTTCTTCGTTCCTGCATGCACTTGGCAGGTTTGAACTCTGATAATCATGGCTTCTCATGTCTCCCCGAGCTCGAGAATAAAATTCCTGTGCTCGATTTTCGAGGGCGTGAGATGTCGAAGAACTCTATACTAAGACAAAATGGCCACTTAATGCTCCCAAGTTTCTAATTATGATTCAGCAACGATCGATTCATAATTTCAATCAAAAATTAATTGATTGCTCAGGTATGAATATCATGTTAATTGCCATTTCTGTCTCTGGAGTATAATGACATAAAAACTGTCCTCGAAGAAATTCCTTCAGCCCTAGATTCCGGGTGACACCACCTGTTTCTTATAGTTAGGTCTGTACGTCTAGTAGGTCATGTCGTTCCAGACAGTCACTCACCAAAAAGTTGACTTTCTGAATCCAGAACTGCTCAAAACCATAGGGGAAAACATTTGATCATTGTAATACTCCAGCTTGAATGAATGGATGCATGAATGGACATAAATGGTGCTTGAACGTGCGAAAAAATCCTACCTGAACTTTTGAACAGATTAATAAAAGCGGAACGTTGTTTATAATAGCTGTGTAAGGCAAGTCACAGTGAAAGTGAAATCAAATGTTGAGGAATATTAGTAGCGTATTAAATATGTTGCAGGTGATTTTCCATGCGATATGCTGTCACAGACAAGTAAATACAACATGCTGTACATTAACTTAGTAATTGGAGAGCCATAAATCAGAATAAACAATTGCCCATGCTGCCAGATCACTCACCCCAGCCGAGCGAAATTACAGTCAAATTGAGAAAGAAGCTCTTGCAATTATTTTCGCTGTCAAAAGATTTCATAAAATGCTCTATGGTCGTAAGTTTACGCTACTGACAGATCACAAACCTTTGATTGCAATCTTTGGTTCTAAGAAAGGAATCCCTGTCTATACGGCTAATAGATTACAGCGCTGTGCAACGATGCTCCTGAGTTATGATTTCAATATGAAGTGTCAGTCGACAAATACTATCGGTCAAGCGGACGCTCTCTCTCGATTAATTGGAGTTCAGCATCCTGAACCAGAGGACATAATCATCGCCTCAACAGCAGTAAACCCAGAAATACTGAGTATAGTAGCAGATGCCATTCGAAACACTCCAGTGTCGTCAGAGGAAGTCAGAGAAGAAACTCTTCGAGACCCACTTCTACAAGAAGTTAGAAAGTTTCACCTGGAAGGGTGGCCCTCGAAGATCAACTCTACAGAGCTTCAACAGTTTTACCAGCGTAGACTCTCTCTTTTAACCATTGACGACTGCCTGCTGTTTGCCGAACGAGTCATAATTCCAACGAAGCTACAACCAGCAGTGCTAAAACAGTTGCACGTGGGACATCCTGGAATAAATCGCATGAAAGCACTAGCACGAAGTTATGTATATTGGCCGCACTTAGACACCCAGCTAGAGCAGCTATCCCGTTCGTGTACCAAATGTGCATTAGCAGCAAAAGCACCGCGCAAAGCAGAGTTGAAATCATGGCCAATACCACAGTCGCCGTGGCAGCGTATACATTTGGACTTCTCTGTCCCACTTCATGGACAAACTTAACTTCTGGTAGTTGATGCATACAGTAAGTGGCCAGAAATTTTCTTCATGAAACACCCAACTGCAAGCTGCACAGTCAGTAAATTACGTAAACTATTCAGTCGTTTCGGAGTCCCGGAATCGATAGTTAGTGACAACGGGACACAGTTTACGTCCACAATCTTCTCGCAATTTTTCCTGCAGAATGGAATATAACTTGACCGAACACCTCCATTCCATCCGAAATCAAATGGTCATGTAGAACGCTTTGTGAGCACATTTAAAAATGCTCTAAAAAAATCTAAAGGGGAGGGGACCACCGAAGAGATCTTAGAGAGGTTCCTGCTTAATTATCACTGTACACCGAACTCTCAGACGATTGACGGAGTCTCATCTGCGGAAGCTATAATTTCTTAGAAAATTACGAACACATTTTGATGTCATCCGTCCTACACTAGCTCTTGAGCCTCAGCGAAACCTGTCGATGGAGAAGCACTTCAATCGACACCAAGGGGCAAAAAGACGATCGTTCACAGTGGGTCAAAAAGTACTTGCTATCGACTATCGTGGAAAACATCCTGCATGGACAGCTGGTCGGATTTTGAAAAAGAAAGGGAATGTGATTTATGAGGTGTCAGTTGGCTCAGAAGTTTGTGTACGTCATGCTAACCAACTGAAAGCAACTTCGATAGCCAGCAACGGGACACGGTATCGAATACCCCTTGACGTTCTGCTGGACACCTTCGAAATCAAAACGCCTGGAACACACAAGTCAGTTTCTGTGCAAGCAAAGAGTGACACAACTTCCTTATAGCCGAGATGGACTAATCGAAAGTACAAGCCAGTCACTCGGTTGCAGTTGGACCCTAGCACCAGATCCTACGAATCTTCTCGAAGGGGTGGTGTTAGGGGGACATAGATGGATTAAAGCATGACTGCGTTGCTGTGCGCTGATTAGCTAATTCCCTACCCAATCAGCGCCTGATCGAATCTTGGAGAACAGGGTAGAATATTCACGTACTGTTAACTGCGTGCTGATTGGCTAAATCTAATCCAGTCGATCACGTGAATTTCTATCTAGAAGCTTCTCATGTAAATGCTATAAATAAACTAACGTTGTATCTATTTTTGCCTTCGCCTTCGCCACCACCCTTGGCTTCTTATTCCATTTAACCTTGCTATTTGGAATATAATCTTTCCCGTTCAACCGTGTTTTGATTCTTGGGAACTTGTCCAATGTATTGTGGTCAGAGAATACTAAGCAATAGGATTTAGCCGGAAATTATTTAAGCAAGCGTTACAACAGATTCTGTTAAAGATTCCTTTTATGTCTCCGGCTTCTCCTTGTGCTTCTTTCAAATATCCTAAACACAGAAAAAGCTGGAAATTAAGCAACATAGTCAAGTATCAAACAAGTCATGTAGAAAGCAAAAGTAAGCAATGATAACTAACTCCACCTTAAGACAAAGGCCTTAAGCATGCTGAAAGAAAAGTCTGAGACATGAGAGTCCTTATCAAGTAGACGCGACCCCAGAGGCGATCAAAATGGTGGGTCTCTATCTTGCGGATATAACATTCAGTTTGATTAGTGACACTGATTTATATGGGAGAGTGGTATTATTAACCAAGTAAAACAAAGACGTTTGACTAGCGATGACATCAGTGACTATCAAT